AGCAGTAGCCAGTAATGATAGCAGCGATTGCGACGACGTTATCTGAAAATGTATAAACATTAAAAYCACGGACTAAGATATATCTTAGTCCATGATTAAAACTATTATAAAGTCCAAAGTGCGATATCCCAACACAATACACCGTATTGCAATAAAATTCACCGTTCACGGGCAATAAGCCTAGTAGATTGTAGCGTCCTCTTAACTACGAAGGTACAAACAACGTACAGCCAAAATGAACCTATCTACAACTGCGCTGAAATAAAAAATCTATAGATCGAAAGGTGCCACCTCTCATCATTAAATTAATAAAAATAGACTACACTCTRAAAATTACCAAGAATCATCTTCCCTTAACTCTGACACAGAGTTCAGGTCGGGGATTCATTGATTCCACCGAAATTACCTGTTTAGGAAAAAGGTTTATTTTGATTCCACCGGCTACTGTTTATAAAATCTACATATTGATTCCGCCGTCTACTGTTTATAATATCTACAAATTGATTGAGCCGGACACTGTTCATCCCCCCCCCACCCAAAATTGTACGTCTATTTTAAAATGTATAAATGTAACTACTTTTGATCAAATTTTATCATATTTTCATAAAATTTGGTCACATGTCTAAATATTGTATAAAATTGTATGTGGATATAAAAACCTTACCATATTATTAAGTACACAATACGCATAACACACGTCATGTCGATACGAAAAATAAAAATGTGATGAAACTGAAACAGAGTTTATATTATATATTCTTATAAGCTATGGCTACTTATACCAATCAGTACATCATCATGGAATTAACAAATGAGTAAAAATAAAAAACTRTTCAACTGAGCRTCTGAGCAACAATTTTTTAGGTATTTATAATTTGATCAATACGGTTTGTTTTTAATCTAGTTACTAGAAAAATCAACAGTTTTGAGTAATGTTAGATTAAAACCAGTTTATAGACAACAATATTTTTAAAGGTATGACGTATCAACTTACCAGTTTAAACATAATTTAAATTACAAATTTTTTATTTTTTATTTTGAAAGTTAATCAATAATTAAATATACAATATACATAAAACCAATATGTCACACCTTTAAAATAATATACTCTAA